AACTTATGCACCTCACGAACCAACTCTTTTTTTTCATCCTATACATGAGCCACACTACCCATAGACAATCTACTAAGTGCATCCGCTACCACATTCACTTTGTCTGGGTGATAAAGGACACTCATGTCATAATTTTTCAACAATTCTAACCACCTTCGTTGACGAAGGTTTAAGTCCTTTTGACTAAAAACATATTGAAGACTTTTGTGATCATGAACACATCCACATGGACCCCATACAAATAATGCCTCCATATTTCAAGGTAAACACAACCACAACTAATTCAAGATCATGGGTAGGATAATTCTTCTCATGGTCTTTAAGTTACCTTGAAGCATAGGAAATCACCTTACAACTTTGCATAAGCACACATCCCAACCCAACTCTAGATGCATTACAATACACTACAAAACCATCTGTACCTTCCGATAAAGTCAATACCGGAGCGGAAGTAAGTCTATCCTTCAATTATTGGAAACTTTTCACACAAGCTTCCAACCACACAAATTTAGCTTTCTTTTGAGTGAATTTTGTCAACGGAGAAGCAATGGAGGAATACCCCTAATCAAACCTTCTATAGTAACCGGCCAAACCCAAAAACTTCTAATATCAGAAGGAGTTAGAAGTCTAGGCCAACTCTTGACCACATCTGTCTTCTTAGGATCTACCTCAATACTCCCACTTGACACAATATGACCAAGAAAAGCCACAAACCCCAACTAAAATTCACACTTGCTAAATTTTGCAAAAAGTTGTTGGTCCTTAAGAACTTGCGACACAATTCTAAAATGGTCCACTTGTTCATTCTCACTCCTTGAATAGATCAAAATATCATCAATAAACACAATCACAAACATGTCTAGGCATTGCCTAAACACTCTATTCATTAAGTCCATAAATGCCGCTGGGGCATTGCTTAAAGAAAATGACGTCACAAGGAATTCATAATTCACATAGTGAGTTCGGAAAGCTGTCTTGAGAATGTCATCCTCTCTCACCCTCAATTGGTGAAACCCCGAATGAAAGTCAATCTTGGAAAAGTAACTAGCCCATTGAAGTTGGTGAAACAAGTCATCAATTATCGAAAGGGGATACTTGTTCTTAATGGTCACTTTGTTCAATTGGTGATAATCAATGCACATTCGATGTAACGACCAGGGAGCACCCCCAAGTCGTATTATGCGTACTTAACCTCTCGGAGGTCTAATACAAGCCTCTTCGCATTCATTCATCGCATTCGGTAATAAAAACCGTAAGGAATTTAAACACTTTTTAAGGTAAATTCGTAATACTCATAAAATCTTTCAAATGTAACGAAGTAGAATTTCTAAGTCTCATGTACCATCTTAGACACGAATAGAGAATCTTAGGGGCACGTCCCTTTACAACAAAATATAAGTCTTATACAATGTCTAAGTGGAAATACTAGAAAGGTAACAACTATGTCCTCGAATATACGAGGACATACCAAGCTTCTTGAGAAGAGTCAATATCCCAAGCTTCCTCAAAAGATCCCTTCACTTTCCACCACCTACACTTGTAACAATAGAGAGATATGGAATTAGTACAATAAGTACTAAGTATGATGACCATGCAAGAAAACATGCACGACGGACATTTACAAGGAATGTATGCTTTTAAGACTTTCTTTAACAAACCTTCTTTAACAAACCTTTACAACCACAAGCATAAACCCTCATTTCAAGTCACCATTCACAAATAAGACCATATTCACATCATTTACAACTCAATTAACACAAGTGTACAATAGTAAAAAAAGGATAGCAAAGTAAGTCCTTCATTACTATTTCAGATTCTATCTCAAGTCACCCTAAACCACACTTAAGTGAATAATGAAGTGACTACCCATACAACCTCTTCATATACACCTAAGTGTTCCTAAGAGTTACCATAGACAAGGGTTTTATCATTATATTATAATATACTAAGTCAACATTCTTTATAAAACCATTTAGGAGACACACAAGCATATATGGGACAATCACATAATAGCCCTAAGGCTTAGGGAACTCACTTTAGTATTTTCTAAGCCTCCTCATGCCATGTGTAGATAGCATCCCATACTACTACCTACACGTTGTAGAACCTATCCAATATTAGAGTGCACATCCCATATGATGGAAATAGGCCTTAACCTACATAGGCCATACTAGCAAGGTATGGAATCCGGAGTCTATCCTACTTCGTGGAGGTTGTTCTACTTGCCAAGGGTAGAACTAAAAGCAACCCATGTTTTCACATGGTTTAAGAGACGTCCAAGGATGTTCATTGTGCCTAATCTCATGCTCAACTAGGCCATCATCCTAACCACATCCTCTCGATGCGTAGCCTTGGTTTCCATAGCGTATTCAATCATATATGTACTAGAGAGGGTTCTTTTTCTAGTTCAACCAACTTAGAGTACCTCTTCCCAAGAAAGGCCCTATTTCTTAGTCATAGCCAATCTAGGTTCATAAGGATAGCTCATTTGACTTTCTTAGATAAGGATTCTCATGCCGTTTCGGCTCTATCCATCTCTAAGTCTATCATTTCACTCAAGAAGGGAACATCACCCTAAGGCCCATCCTTCAAGGTTATACATTTAGTTAGGAAAGCTAGACTCATGAAAAGGCACTATGCTTAAGTCATACCAATTCAAGTCTTGGCCTAGAATTCCTCTTTTAGCATTTATAGGAAGAGCTCCATTACTAAGTCATAGCCCAACCAAACATTCATATACTCATATACATAATCAAGCTTTCATGACACAAGACAAGATACTCAAGTCTAGCATATGAGCTACAACATCATCTTATAGAGACTCATCATAGTCCATCATAACCACATATCATAAAGGACTTTACATATAGCCTCATATGTGTATAATAACACAACAATATAATAACACTCATATAATGCCCTTCATGGCCTCAATTTACAATAATACCATATTCCAACATTATACAACAATTTCACCAATGCCTTCATGGCTACAATTCACAATAATACCACACAAGAATAAGATATATCACTTCCACCAAAGGTGTATCCAACCTACTAACAACAATCAATTCAATAAAGAGAGTTCAAGCCTTCTTACCATAATCCAAAGCTATAGCCAAAATCACCAATACTTCACCCATAAGGCTTACCACCCTTAATTCATCCATTATCAACAATTAATCATAAATAAACATTAATTAACACAAGAGATATCAATACAATTCACTTTACACATAATTCCATCAACTTTGAATTTATAGAAATAGACCCACTTCATATCAAATTTTAGGGTTTTGTAGAAGACAAGGGTTCATGGAGTATTTCATTCAAAAACCACATACAAACATCAATTAATCCATACCCAAACGTTTCAAATCATTTTCATGCAAGAACCCTAGATAGAATTCAAAAACAAGCTTTTAGTCACTTTTTGAAAACATTGTAAAATCCTTTGAAATTGACTTTAGGAGGAAGTTGAGTCCTAGATGAAGAGCCACCATACCTCAATTGATGAAATCTCAACAAAATTTGGTGGAAGGGAATCCTTAATTGAAACCCTAGCTCTCCACCTTCTTCTTCCTTGAACTTGAGAGAACTTTAGAGAGAGAAAGAACTTTGGGGTTTTGATTTTGGAAGAATGAATTCAAAAACACCTCTTAAATGTTTTAATACCTTTAAAATACTTAAAAACACATAAAATAATAATAACCCAAAGTACCCAAACTACCCTTCACTTAGTTGGACCTTTTTAAACAAGTCCAACTTGAGTTTTATTTTCGCAGATTTCATCGGGAAACAAGTTCGCGACGCGGAGCCACTTTTTGGCCATTGGTGGAGTAGGTCCGCAACGCGCAGCGACTCCCTCCAAGAACAACTTCAAGCTACCTTGGCAGCTTGCTTGGCCAAGGGTTGGGGTCCTCCTCGGGGACCCTTATGGTGGTCCCGGGGAGTCATACCCGAACGTTTTGACCCTAAAAATATTTATTAAGATACTAGGGTCACCTCCACTAATTTTAGACTCCATACAACACATAAAAACATGAAAAACATACTAGAACACACCAACACGTAAAAGACTAGTCTCCAAACGTCTTGGTAGTCCCTTGACGTTTGACTTCCAAACTCTTTAAAACTGACTAAAAAGGCTATTCTTCATTATTTTAACAAGTTATTAATGCATAGGACCCATGTGAGGCTCTACTTTATCCTACTTCATTTTGAGGGGTGTTACATTCGAAGTGACCCATCTTTCTTTCTAACAAATAATACCCGAGCACCCCATGGAGAGATACTTGGTCGAATGAAACCCTTATCTAGAAAATCTTTTAATTGCTCTTTCAACTCCGCCGGAGCAATTATTTAAGGAGAAATAGAGATAGGTTGCATAACCCCCAAAAGATCAATACCAAAATTTATTTCCCGCTAGGGAGGAATACATGGCAAATAATCGGGGAAATCATTAGGGAAATCATTCACTACCAGAACTGACTCAAGAGAGGTTCCAGAATCAACATCCCTCACCCTCACAAGATGGTAAATACACCCACTTGAGATCATCTTACTAGCTTTAAGACAAGAAACAAATTGACCTCTAGGTATAGAATTTTCCCCCTTCCACTCTAAAATAGCCTCATTATGAAATTGGAATTTAATCACTCGAGTCCTCCAATCAATAGAGGCATAACAAGCATGCAACCAATCCATACTTACAATCACATCAAAGTCTAACATGTCTAACTCTACCAAATCCACCAAAGTGACTCTATGGGATAAGGAAATGAGACATCTTCTATAGACTCTCTTAGCCACTACCGATCACCAACCGGGGTAGAGACCGAAAAAGGTTCTACTAAAACTTCAGGGAGTTTATCAAACTTCGTTGCAACAAAAGGTGTCACAAAGGCTAAAGTAGAACCGAGATCTAACAAGGGATACACATCAATAAGAAAGACTTTTAACTTACCGGTCACAACATCCGGGGAGCTCTCTTGGTAACCTCAGGATTGAAGAGCATAAAAGCGGTTTTGCTTTTGGGCATTGGAGTTTGAATCGCTTGGAGGAGCTTGTTTATCTTCCCTTACCTTAACCTTGAGCATTAGACAATCTCTCATCTTCTTGCCACTCTTTCCACAATGAAAGCACCAATCGGTGCCAACTAGGCACTTACCATCATGTCTTCTTCCACATTTTGCACAATTAGGTCTAGCCACATAATAACCACCACCGTTACCTCCTTGAGGTTTTGGGTTGGAAACTCTATCCTTGTTGACCCTTGGAGCACTAGAGGAGCCTTTGTTGGAAAATCTTTGTTTGAACCTTAGTCGAACTTTTCCATCGGACTTTACATTGGAGAAGTTTCCATCACCGGTTCTAGCTCTTTTCACCTCTCTATTCTTTTACTTGAGTTTTGAATCCTCAATTTGTTGAGCATAGACCATAAGCCTTGAGATATACATGTCATGATGAAGGATTGTCGTACGACATTCTTCTTCAACCAAGTCAGACACACCCGTGAAATACCTACTCATCTCATCCCTCGAATCTACCACCATAGTGGGAGCATACTTGGACAATTGAGTGAATTTTAGGGAATATACTTTCACGCTCATACTTCCTTGACGAAGGTTAATGAACTCCTCCACCTTAGCTTCCCTCAACTCTTGGGGAAATAATCTATAAAGAAATGTCGATTTGAACGTTTCCAATTCAACAGGGCCCACTCCTATGGATCTTCCCCTCTTCTATAGATCATACCATACTTGAGCAACATCCTTTAGTTTGTAGGCGGCTAACTCCTCCTTCTTTTCCGAAGACGCCCCCATAATAGCAAGAACTTTATAAACATCACCGGTAAACCTTTGGAGATCCTCTTCAACTTTAGAGCAATGAAATTCGGGAGGGTTCATTTCAGAAAAATCACTAACCCTTTAAGCAGTCGAATTCACAATAGGACTCACATGAGTCACAACATCCCTATTGGCTTGAGCCACCAAAGCATGGGCCAACATTTGAAAAGGCAACCTAACATCCTTATTGGACATAACCGAAGAATTAATCGGAGCATGAGGAGCTTGGGGAGGAGCTTCTTGATTTATATTCTCCTCTTCCATCTTTGTAGCATTAGCCCTTCGTGTATTCATATCCTGAAGACACAAGAGAAGGATTAAGAGACAGACTTTATAGAGTTAAACTCTAAGTAACGACTTAAGAGTAATGAAAGAAGTGAAATTTCCTAAGCATCTTATAGCCTCTCATTCATAAGTGTGGCACACTTCACACTTATGCACAAGACTTTACTAGACGTAGCTTATGAGACATCATCCTACAATCATTCTAAACCTTGTGCTCTGATTACCAAGTATGTCACGACGCAGGGGTACCCCCTAGATGTAACAAGGCATACAAAACCCAAAATGGCTCCATGTAAGACACTTAGTATACCATAACATAAGCAATAGAACAATTAGAGTAAAAACGCATTTCAAGTCAAAATTTTAATAAAGGAAAGCGGAAGTCTAGACTTGTCTCAATTAGCCATCTACTACAATAGTCGAATAAAATAGGGTCACAGCCCATACAACATAATCCAAAAATGAAATACAATGAAAAGAGCTACAAAGATAACATATGTCCTTGAACCATGAAGACTCACCAATAAGCAAGAAGAAATGAACAAATCGAAGATCTAGCCAAAATGGGGACCTCCTTGAGAACCGGACCCTACAATTGGGAAAATGTAGGAAAATATGGGTTATTACCAAAATGTACTAATTATGATAGCCATGCACAAAATAATGAAAACATACTAAAAGAGACATTTTAGTTGAATGCATGCAATTTACTAAGTTAAATCATCAATTTGAACATAATGGAAAAGCATAAGTCATAAGCATAATGATCTCATAGATCATCATATCATAAGAGGAACATACCATACATACCCTTAAAGCATACTTGTGCAATGCATGAATAAGATCCCATAATCTCACCCATACTAAGTAAAGCTTCTTGCGTAACCATAGTTCATATTTCATATTCTTGTTCATATTGTTGTCATAGTGGGAATAAGCCTTAACTGACATAGACCATGTGATATAACATGGAATCCGGTGTCTACCCCACACTGAAAAGGGGTTGTTCTACTTGCCTAAGGTAGATCCGTACTCTTAGCTTAGGTGGATCCACTAGCTAAATACCTATGAGGGCACATAATTTATGGGATAAGTAAATTGCTACTAGAAACCCGGACCCAATGAGCATAGAAGGACCCCATCACATATTCAATATCCACTCGGTGCTAAGCATTATTCCCAAGTAGTTCATATTAAGTTTTGAATTGAATTCATATTCATGGAAGAATGTCTTGACACTCAATCAAACATAATTCATAAGATAGCTCATAGATTCAATAGGTGATGATAGTCTTTCAACCTTAGAATCATCATATTGTGAGAACACCTTTCACATCATATCATATTCATACATAATTGTTTACATGAGGATAACCTTCGACAACACAACAACAAGATCATAATAATATTCACTGTACTCTCAAAGTGTTCTTAAAGCATATACATTACCCTCATAATCATGCATAATTCTCATACTTTTCCCTTCAAGGACAATAGATCATATTCCATCAACACATCTAGAATTACTACATTAGACATTGATAATAACATGATTCAACTAACTCAATTACTACAAGCATAATCTCATAATATTCATCTTTCTACAATTCACCAACCTCACAAGGTCATAAATTGGGAATATGGGGATTTCATGGATTTTTGGGAGATTTAATCATAAACCCATATTAAATCATCAATTCAATCACAATATAAAGCAATTAAAACAATAGAATCATTTTTTAAAGGAATTCATGACTTTGAGTCAAACCCTAACTTTTGGGGAATTACTATCTTTGAAATTGGGGTTTTGAAGGGACTCCATGAATGAATTCTATCCATAGATAAAGATCTACCATACCTTAGCTATGAATTTCAATGAAATTGAGTAGAGAAACCATGCTCCTTCAACCCTAGCTTCACCTTCCTTCTTCTTCTTCCTTGGAGTTATAGAGAAAGAATTTTTGGAGAGGGTTTGGGCCTTTCTTTTGGGATTTGGAATTATGAGGAAGATGACTTAATTTGGTGACTAAACAACCTTATATAGTTAGTCTAATTTAGCGTAACACAACGTCACTTAATATTAATGAAAACAGGAAAACCCCATAATTCCCCCTAAGTGTAACTCCCAAAAGGTAGTTTTAGGCCTCACCAACAACCCAACAACCACGGTCCGTTGATGGACCAACGTGGCATGCTGGTGAACCGTGGGTGGTTCAGAGACCTGATTTTGCAGGCTTGATCTACGCCCCTCACCCACGAGGTGTGTCCTGACCCATGAGGTTTGGGTGCCCTCCGTGGGTCACTGCCCAGGCAGCCTCTAAGGGTCTTCCTCAAGGACCCATTGTTGGTCCTTGGGGGTCGTACCTTGAAGTTCTAACTCAAAACCCTATATATTTAGGTACAGGGAGGTACGTTTATGACTCTAACCCTCATGTTAAGCTCTATTTTATCCTACTAGTTTCCGAAGTGTTACGATGGTGTAGACTCGGGTCGTGACAGGTTGAGTAAATTAAAATTAACAACATTTAATTACTTCAATTTATGTATAAAAAGATAGAAAATAAACAATTGAATCATAATTTAAAAGAACCCATGAAGATTAAATAAAACCCTAACTTCAATGGGAGAATCTAACTTGTAAAATGTTACTTCCCGAGGCTACCCCTTTGTGTAGCACGGGACCTAGGATCACGAGTGACCCCAAGCTAACCTTGAGTCTGGCATATCATAAGCATAGTGAAAAAAAATAAAGCATGAACTATACTGAATCAAAATCAATAAATATCTGGTGTGGGAATAAAACCAAAATAGTTTGAATATAACTATAAACCATAAGAGTTTAGTAATAACTGATACTACCACTTAACAACTCAAGTTGGATCTACTACTATGTCTGAAAATCCTTTACTCAAGTGAATTGCTAGGACATGCCCCCAGCTAACTGTAGCAAGACTGAAACTAAAAAATATGACTAAAATGAAAACATTTCTATTGCCCTCGGAATATGAGGACTCACCACTGAAGTTGTTGAATGCAGACAAAAAATCGATCTATGTGTGTCTGGATGTTGAATACCTAAACCTATATCATGAAACAAAGTAGCGCAAAGCACGTGCCAGTCCTTGGAATGTACTGAGCATGCACAATATTAATACTAAGCTGAATAAAGTATATAAGCTAAATAATGCATAACTAAGCAATGACATAATTTGAACAAGGATGTAAATATGTACTGAAGTACAACTTAAAGATAAACTGAATGCACTGACCAAGTACAAATCATGAAGATAACATACAGAACTGTATACTGAAGTAACAATTGAAAACCTAGTCAATGCACAAAAATTCTGACTGTGGGAGCCACGTTTAAACGACGTAAGCCACATGATCTAAACATGGATTCCAATGTATATGCCCCATCGAGAGGATCAATGTACCTTTCCATGGGTATAGAGGCATGACTGTGGCGTGATCACAAAATCTAATGCCCAACAGAGGGGACTTATAATCCTATGCGGGCACATACTTCTGGGACTATGAGGGTACGCTGAACCCTTGTCCAAACTCGGTGCAAAGTCTACTGCAAACATAATATATATGAAGCTCAAATGAACTAAATACTGACATGCTAACTTAGAATGCAACATTTATGTACTGAGAATGTGACATTCAAAATTTAGAGCATGATTTTATGTTTTACTGACCTAGCAAGTATAATTCATGAACCAAGAGAATCTACACAAACTAGGCTTCTGAGTTTTATATAAGGAATTAAGCAACATTTTTCAAGAAAACATGATATTTAGACTACAGATACTATAGCAACTAATATCACCACTATTCCCAAGATTTTAGAAACCCTAGGTCTAAACACGTTATGTGGAATCAAGGAACTGAATGAACAAAGTCACAATCAAGAAAAAAATATTCTATCCGTAGGATTGATGACTTGCCGACCACCTTCAAGGTGTTAGTTGCTTTTTTAAGATAGATCTCACATCTGGCTATCATCATCTTAGAGTCAGTGATAGTGACATCCCAAAGACAGCCTTTAGGACTCGGTATGGTCACTATGAATTTGTAGTTATGTCTTTTGGACTAACAAATTCTCCTGTAGCTTTCATGGACTTAATAAAAAGGGTGTCAAACAGTATTTAAACTTGTTCGTTATCGTCTTTATTGGTGATAACCTCATTTATTCTCGGAATGAAGAGAAGAATGTTACTCATTTGAGAGTTATTCTGCAAACTCTCAAAGATCACCAATTATTTGCTAAGTTCAGTAAATATGAATTTTGGTAAAAAATGGTCCCTTTCCTTGTTTATGTGGTGTGAAGAGAAGGGATCCGAGTGTACTCTCATAAAATTTACGCATTACCATACTGGCCCATACCCATCTCTCCAACATATATAAGAAGTTTGTTGGATTTCGCCGGTTAAGAAAGGAGATTTTTGAAGGATTTTCATCCATAGCTTCCACTTTGACCAAGTTGACTCACAAGAAGGTCAAATTTTTGTAGTCAGATGAATGTGAGAAAAGCTTCTCAACACTGAAGACTACGTTGACTACAACTCCGGTCTTGACTCTACCAGATGGTTAAGACGGGTATGTAATTTATTGTGAGGCATCCAAGGTCGACCTAAGTTGTGTGTTGATATAGGGAGGTAAGGTCATAACTTATGCTTCTAGACAGCGTAAGCTCAACGAGAAGAAATACCCGACACATGACCTTGAACTTGATGCCGTTGTATTTGCCCTAAATATTTGGAGACATT